CACGCCTTCCTGGCCACCCTCCTTTCTGGGCTCCTGCTGGCGCTCTCCTGCTGGGGGGGTCGTCGTCGGCGAGCCGGAGCGCCCCTGGGAGGGTCTGGCTTCAAAGGCGCCACCCCTCTACCGCAGGCGCGCAGCCCTTTCGCCCCAAGGGAGTCCTGGCGGCGCGCAGCGCGCACAGCCCCTGTGGCGGGCACCTTCGGGCTGCTGAGCGGTGCCCTACAGGGTTACGAGGTGTTGCACGCCCTGGGCTATGGCGGCCAACCTGGCCTGGAGGGGCCCTGGCCCTGGTGGGCTTTCCAGCTAGGCCTGCGCCTTGGCGAGGTGGGCGTTGCGCTCCCGTTGGCACTGCTGGGACTCTACCCCGCCCTCTGCAGCCCCCGAGTGCCACCTCGCTGCTGGGCCAAGCTCTTCCGTTTGTCCCCAGGCCATGCAGCCCCATTGCTGCCTGCAGGTTGGGTCACCGGGCCTCCGGACAAAGAGCCCTTGGGGAACGCCATAGCACGTGGCGATGCAGAGCTGCTTCAACTATGCGCCCTGGCAGGGCCAGGCCCCGATCTCCTACTCCAGGGAGGTGGCTGCCAGGGCTTCGAAGGCACAACGGCCAACCAGGCCCCGTCCCAGGCCTCCTCCCCTTGCAGCGATTGCACCGTGGACTTCCGCCCTCCATCCCCAATCAACCTGCGGCGCAGCATCGAGGAGGCCCTCGGCAGCGAGGCCCTGCTCTCACCAAGCCTTTTCCAAGGCCCTGCCTTCGGGGACACCCTACCTGGACTCGGCCTCTACCGTACAGCCTCGCTGGGGACGAAGACCCAGGTCGGGCCCAGTGGGAGGTCAGAGGCAGCCCCTGGATCCCCGCTGCCCCCAGAACTGCCCTCCCCGGGGGCCTGGCCCGCCGGCAGCAGCGCCTCATCTGGCTCGTTGTGCGGACTCTCACGGGACAGCTCATCCATGCTGCTATGCTCTAGCCCCGACAGGCCCCCGCGCTGTCCGCTGGTCTGTGTCCTTAGTCCCCCGAGGCCCTCAGGAAGCAGCCCTAGCCTCCCTGCCTCAGGATCCTATCAGGCCCTGTCTCCACCCTCTCGCGACTCCCCAGAGCCAGCCCCTGAGCTGCAGGCAGAGGAGGCCTTGCTGCAGGAGCAATTCCTGGATGCCTGCCGGCAGATCGACGAGCTGAGCGTGGGCAGCGACACCATAGACCTGTGAAGAGGCGGGCACCTTGTTGCCTCTCCACCCACCCCTTTCTGGCACCTGCTCTGACCAAGACCTATACACTGTAACCTTTCCCCAATCCTGCCTGGCTCAGATACCTCTCCCCGCTCCCTTCCCCATCCAGGGGCCCCTGGGTGGGTGGGTCAGCCGCCAGGCTCTGTTACTGGGAATCAGTGCCACCCTCTCTGGAGCCCTGGGCACTGATGTCCACAGTGGCCATTCTAGGCTGGCAGGGATCTCTCCTTGGCATTCACCAGCAATAAAGCTCCAAGGTGCTCCTCTCTCCTAATGACCACTCCCCACTCTGGTGCTGAGTGAGGGGCTATCCTCAGCCCCATTCCCACCTCTGCCATGCCCAGGAATCCCACCCTGGTGTGAGTGAGACTCCCTGTCTTCCATGTGACCTCTCCCCACAGAAGGATCCCAGGCCCACTTAGGAGACTTTACAGCAGGTGGGTGGGAGGTGAATGCTTTCAGAGTTAATTTATCAATAAAATATTTTCAGAGGAGAAAGTTCTGGCTTTCTTAGAAAAGCTTAGAGGGGGGAACAGCTGTAGCGGCTCCACCAGAAGTGGAAAAGAAGAAACTGGGGTGTGGTGGCTCCTGCTCAGACCCCAGAGACACTCACACAAGACCAAGGAGTCTTGTCCCGTGGCTGAATGAGGGTTTTGGAAAAGCAGTCCCTTGAAGATCCTTATGACTTCCTAGGAAGTGGCTTTCTGCAGCGATGAAACATGGCCCTGCAGAGTGAGGCAGAAACTCTGTAGTCATCCGTGGAAATGCGTGTGTTCCAGGAGGCTGTCTGGGGACCAGTTAGTGGCGATGTCTTTCATGGAATGTTGATACACATGTAAAAGGGCCTGAGCACCTCGAGCCGGGATCCCCAACAAGCTCTCTGTCACAGTTCCACAGTTTTGGATTTAATTGTGTTCTTCACTCACCCACAGAGCCTCTCAAAGTTGGGCTTGTCCTCCCACCCTCCCGAACTCTCATCTCCCAAGGGTGCGGCTCTTGGAGAAAGCTAGCTGTCTCCACCCTCTGCTTTACAGCCCTAGCCTAGCTCCCAAAGCAGAACTCAGCGCAGAGACCCAGGAACACATTGGGCCACCAGACTTCCGTAATTCCTCCCTTGCCTGGAGCATTTGGCTCTGAGCTGCATAGTATGTGTGTGTGTGTGTCATTTGGCTAACATGCAGTGGTTTGGAGTGGCATAAGAACAGGGTCACGTTTAGGTGTGAAAATGGAAATCTCACCGCGTTTTGGCAGATGTCCTGCACATCTCAGGAAGACCTGCAGGGGCACACACTCTAGGCTCAACTGGGAAAAAGAGGAACCCAAGGGGCTTTTCTTCTAACTCTGCCCACTAGCTCATGGGGTTGGAGAAGGGAGGCCAGGGGACCAAGAAGGAAACAGGCCAGAGGCCAGGAGTAGGTGGGCCTTTAGCCAGACCAGTTCTAATGCACCCGTGGAAGGATTTGAGCACTGTCCTTGCAAATGAAGATCTGTCTTGGCCAAGAGGAATGTCCAGAGGGAGATGGGGAGTCAGCGATTTTGGGGGAGGATGAGAGCCGTCAGAGGGAAGAGAAATGGGGGGAAAACTGGTGCAGGCACAGCTGAGGGATGGAACTGGAATGGTTCTGGCTGTGTCTCCTCCATCACCTGGCTCAGCCTGCCTCAGAAATTCTTGCTGCATCGTCACTCTGGGCTGAGGCCCAGAGAACTGCCAACCTCCTAATTACAGGCATTTCTCACTGGTGTCGTAGTGGCTGCAGCAGGCCGAGAACCGGAGCTGCTTTGTGTCATGCAAGGAGTGCTTGCTGCATTGAGAAATGGCTCCCTTTCTTGCCCACTTACTCTTCCATCTGCCTCTCATCTGCTGCTGCTCACACGCAGTTCCTCTGTCATCTCTTCCTCACTTGACTCCTTGCCAGCTGCTCTCTCACTCACTCTCCTCACCATGGGTCCTTGGGTTTATGCACATACTTCCCTTCAGAGTGGTCTGAGCCCTGCATACCCCTAGTCCATTTCTCTGTGTTTCTCTCTCGCCTTTTCTAAAACATTTTTGCTATGGATGTATGTATGTACCACAGAGAAACAAAGAGAGAGAGGCAAAGTGAGAAATCCCTCCCCTCCACGGGGGATGGCCACACCACAATCCCTTCTCCATTCTCCTCTTGGGATTTCGGGCATGCACATGCCTGGGATGTTCTTTTTTTTTTTTTTTTTTTTTTTTTTCGAGGATTTTTTATAGGAAACGGTTCGCCAGAAAGACAGAGAGATAGAAAGTGAGAAATCACCCCTTGGGGGGATGGCCACCCCACGATCCCTTCTCCTTCATTCTCTTGGGATCTTGGGCACGCACACACACATGCCCGGCATGAGCTTAAGCTACCAGGTTTGGGACTCGAACTGTGGTTGACTACATGGGAGTTCAGTGACACAGCCATTACGCTAACTGCTGGTCCCATGCCTGGGGTGTTCTTCAAGCCACTAGGTCTGGGACTCAAACCATGCAGTTGGCCATGTGGGATCCAGCTGCCTTAACCACCATGTCACTGGCTCTCCCATTTGATTTTCCTCAGCAAGACTAACTTCAGCCCTTTGACTTTATCAAGAGGCCAAGAGTTTGGTTAGACAACCCTTTCCTTGGGTTTGCCTTATCCCTTGCCCACAGGTGTTTCCCAGGTAGCTCCTAATGCATACATTTTCAGTTCCAAATCTTGGTACTGTGGGGAGCCAAGAGAAGAACTCACATTCATTTATTCATTCATTCTCTAAAAAAACATTTATCGAATGCTAGCAATGTGCTAGGTGCTGGGGATAGGCAAGTGAACGAGGTTGACACTACTCCTAAATTTACAAAGCTGAAGGTCTTTGGGTAGAAAGGCAGATAGGAAACAACTAATGTCACGAATAATCACAAGAGTGCAAGTAATTCATTAGAATTGTGAGATGAGCTAAAAACAAGAATGTTCAGTATAAGGTTTGGCTTGCAAAGGAGAATGAAACCAGAGAGATGGGGCTTTGGAGAGACTGGTTCAGAACAGCCCAGGCACCTTGGACATCCTCCCACTGCTCGTGAGCAGTGATGGATGAGGGGGAGGCCGGCAGTTTGTTTCCCCTGGAAGCCGCGCTGCTGGTGGTGCAGGGTACTGTGACTCCTGTTATTTAATAAAGAACGCTGCGTGTGTTCTGGGTAGATAAATGAGCAAATATTCCCGATTGAAGAACTGTATGCTCTCCCTGATGTGAACGGATAGTAAGGGAAGAGGCTGAGGTTAAGGCTGGGAGACAGATGGAGGGCCAGGGCCAAACCCTGGGCAGGGTATGGAGGGTCTACTGCACTATCATCCTCCCTAAGGGGCACAGAACACAGCACTGTGGGTGGCTGCTGCCCCCTGATGGGCAAAAGTACACAGTTTAATTTAGTTTTTTTTTTTTTTTTTTTTGAGGAATAACTGGGTCTGAAGTATTAATATTTAAAACAGCATTTGTAGGAGGTGTTGCAAAGGGATATTGGAACCTTGAGAAGGGTTCTTTTCCTTGTACTTACTGCAGCCAGGATCAAGGTGGCCTCCCTGTGACTGGGCCCTCAAAGCTTGCAATTTAGGCTATGGGGATAGAATTTCAATTGTTAGGGTGGAGGTGGAGGAGTGGGCAGGAGGGAAGGAGAAAGAAGAGGAAAGAATGGAGAGTCTCAAACTAACATTGCTCAAACTTGGTACCTTATTTCCTTAGTCTATTTGGCCTCTTTGTATCTTGGATAGGATGAACTCAGTAGCCTTAAAAATCTGTTTTGTATTTCAATGTTTCTTTCCTGAGTTTAAAAATAGCTGTGGGCGGGCCCAGCAGGTGGCTTCCTGGTAAAGGTGCTAGACTCCCACATAACAGGACATGGTCTGAATCCCAGACCTGGTGGCTTGAAATCATGCTGGGCACGTTGCATGTGCCCATCCAAAATTCCAGGAGAAGAAAGGAGTAGAAGGGATTTCAATGTGGCCATCCCCGCTGGGGAGTGATTTCTCACTTTTCCTCTCAGTCTGTCTCTCTTTGGTGAGCACAGGTGCTCTATGGCAAAAATTAAAAAACCAAAACCAAAACAAAAAACCCCCCAAAAAACCAAAACCAAAACAAAAAAAGCCAACCTACCTCCCCAAAAAAGCTGCGACATTTTCTTTTAACCATATATTAATTATTTGGACCTACGACATTATAAATCTGATGTTTCACATTCTCTCTTTCTTCTGTTCCATCACTATTAACCACTCATTCATCCATTCAAAGTACATTGAAGGTGGATAGGGCTTGAAGAGAACAGGAAACTTACTTTTCACTGTATTTAAAAAATTTTCTTTGTACTATGTTACTTCCATTTGAAAATAACGATTTCAAAAACACCTTGTGTGTACTTTTTCGGCTAGGTGTTCTGGTGCAGTGATCTGACACAGAGGTGCTTTCCTGAGCCCAGTGGGATGGCTGACACACTGTATTCCAGAACAGGTGCACTCAAGTTCCCTTCTGGCCACTGAGACCTTTCAACCTTGAGTCTGTCTCATAAGCTGACCTTAGGGATCTGTCACTGAGTGGACCTGCATTCTAGGTCTATTGAGCTGGATGTTATGTTTACTTTGGACGTGTTCTGATATGACCTTGCAGTATACCTGCTGTGATTTATTTTTAATATGTCTTCTGATTAGTGTCTGTCTTCCCCAATAGACTATTTTTCACGAGGGTACGGACCCTGTCTTTTCATAGTTCACCAATTTTATCCCAAATGGTTGGCACATGGCAGACGTTCAGTAAAGATTTATTAAAAATAATTGTGTCCATGCATATATTAGTAGCTACGATTATTCTGTGAGCCCAAGGTGACAGATATCTCATTCTCTGCGAATATGAAAGTTGTCTGAATGATGTATGTGACATACTCGTGTCTTTGTACATTCTTATTGTGTTTTATGCATGTAATCTGTGCAGACACTTCAGAAAATATTTATTAAACACCTATTATATGTCAGATCTTGGGTTAGGCTCGGGGCAAAAACGACTTCTGCCTGTCCTGGTGAATTTGGGGTCGATCTCCTGGAGGTGAGATTTTAAACAAGGACATAATTGCTCACGCCAAGTTTTCCTACAGTGTCAGAAGCGGTGCAGGGACAGGGGATGAGCCCCGCCCAAAAAGCTCCGCCCCCGGGGCGGTGTTATTAATTTATTTTTCTTCAACCCGGAACGTTTTCTCTCTATCCCCGCCATGTTTTCCTCCGGACTTTTTTCACCAACGAGCACTTCCGGAACTTCCCGGCACCTTGGCGTGCTTGGCCTGCTAGAGCGAACCTCTCGGCTCGCGTGCCGGTGCCTGGCCTGCTCCGGGGTCTCACGAGCCTCGGGTTTCTTGGTCTGATGGCTACCTCGACCCTGTTTGTGGGCCGCCTTCCGCCCTCAGCCAGCAGTAAGCAGCTGGAGGAACTGTTCAGTCAGGTGGGGCCGGTGAAGCAGTGCTTCGTGGTGACCGAGAAAGGTAGGGGGGCGGGGCGGCCGAGATTTCCCCTGCGGTTCCTGGGAGCGGGATGGGGGCGAGGACACGTTCCCAAACTTCATCTGGCGGATTAAGCCTTTACCCGCTCCCAAGAAGAGGGCCTGGGGATTGAGTTTCTTTCCCCAACCTAAAGATAAATAGAGGCTGGTTTATGAAAGGCAAAGCATCCCCTTACGTTTCTATAGCGCTTTCCATTTATTTGTGCTCACATACAAGATCTGGTATGAGGAAAATAGCTAATTTTAAATAAAGCATCAGTGAAGTTTATTGAGAGTCAGCTGATGCCGGACATGGTGCTGTGTATGACAGTTATTTCATCAGTCTTACTAGGTGGAGAGTCCTAATCCTGTTTTACAGGTTGGAATCTGAGGTTTAAGGAAGTTTAATAACTTTAGTTTAAGTTCATACAGCTAATAAGTAGTGGACCTAGAATTTGATCATCAGACCTGGAATTCTTTGGCAGTATATTATTCTTTTTTTAGAGATATTTGCTATAGGGCATGTGCATTCGTGATGTGTCACTCTCCAGGGGGTATGGCTACTCCGCAATCCCTTCTCCATTCTCTTGGAACTTTGGGGATGCATGCACCAATGCCTGGTCTGAGTTTTAAGCTGCTGGGTCCAGGACTTGAGCCCCTGTCGACTACAGGAGAGTCCAGTGATGTGACCATTGCACCATCTTCCGGTCCCTGTTACTCATTTTTAAATTTATTCAGTAAACACTTACAAAATGCTTACTGTGTGGCAGGCACTATTTTAGTCCTGGAGATACAGCAGTGCAGACACCAAACCCAAATCTTTGCTTTTATATGTTCAAGGTGCAGAAGACAGACAATAAATAAAATTAGTGGGCTATGTCCTTGACCTTGTTAAGGGGGATACATCCCACATGGCCCGCTGTGGTTCACACCTTGTCCTGTTGGCTTGAAAAACACAGTAGGTATGTGCCCCAAGTCCTGATAGGTTGAAGAAATGGAGAAGGGATTGCATTGTGACTACATTCTGTTGCAGGTGTCTTTTTCTTTTCCTGTACCCTCTAGCAAAAAAATTAATAATAACTACATAGTGAAATGATAATGCTGATAAATGCTAAGGAGGAAGGGGAAGGGGTTAGAGAGTTTACATATGTTCCATTCAGAGAGCTAGGGGTGGCAGCATGGATACCATGGCCAAGGAAGGTCTGCCTGAAGTGAGAGAGTGAGCACATGTCTTCTAGGAGACAAGCAATCCAGGCAGAGGAACTTAAGCTCAAGGATACTGAAACAGGAGTGCCTAGTGCATTAGAGGATCAGTAAGGAGGCCAGGGCAACTGGAGTGCAGTGAGTAAGCAGAAGAGAATTAGGAGATGAGATCTTGAGTACTAGGTCATGTTGGACCTTATAGGCTATTGCGAAGACCTTGGCTTTTACACAGAAGCCACTGTTTTTTTTTTTTTTTTTTTTTTTTTTTTTTTAATGAGGTTTTTGCTATAGGGCGCATGCGCTTGCCAGACAGACAGAGACACAGAGACAGAAAGCGAGAAATCACCCCCCAGGGGGGGTGGCCACGCCGCAATCCCTTCTCTGTTCTTCTCTGTTCTTCTCTTGGGATCTTGGGCACACACGCACACGTGCCCAGCATGGTGCTGTATATGACAGTTATTTCATCAGCCTTACTAGGTGGAGAGTCCACAATCCATTTTCCTCCATTCTCCTTTTGGGATTTGGGGCACACTTACACACAAGCTTGGCATGATTTTCAAGCAGCCAGGTCTGGGACTTGAACAGGGCGGTAGGCCATGTGGGATCCAGCTGCCTTAACTTACATGCCGCCTGCAGGTCTGAGTGAGGACAAATTAAAAAAATATATATTTTATTTATTTTTTCCATTGAAGTTTTTTTAAATTAGTTTTTGCTATGGGGCACTTACACTTAACTTGCCAGAGAGAGAGAAAGGGAAAGTGAGAAGTCATCCTCTAGGACAAATGACCAGGCTGTAATCCCTTCTCCATTCTCTTCTTGGGATTTTGGGCATGCATGCATATGCCCTTGGCATGTTCCTCAAACTGCTGGGTCTGGAATTATTTTTTAAATTGTTATAGGGAGCATACACTCACCAGAGAGAGACAGAAAGAGAGAGAAAGTGAGAAAGCACCCCCCTAAGGGGATGGTCACACCACAATTCTCTCTCCTCCATTCTCCTGTTGGGAATTTGGGTACGCATGTACATGCACCCAGTATTTTTTTTTTGGAGAGGTTTTTGCTATAGGGCACGTGTGCGCGCCAGACAGACAGAGAGAGACAGAGAGACAGAAACCGAGAAATCACCCCCCGGGGGGATGGCCATGCCGCAATCCCTTCTCCGTCCTCCTCTCGGGATTTTTGGCACGCACGCACGCGCGCCTGGCATGAGTCTTAAGCCACCGGGTCCAGGACACGAACCGCGGTCGACTATGTGGGAGTCCAGCGGCATAGCCATTACGCTAACTGCTGGTCCCCCCAGTTTTTCTTTTTTTTTTAAGAATTATTTTATTTTTAATTTAATTTTATTAATCATTATTACTATTATTTTAATTTGACCAGAGAGAGACAGTGACAGACAGAGCGTCAAAGTGAGAAAGCAAGCCGCCAGGTCCAGGACTTGAATCACAGTTGGCCATGTGTGAATCCAGTGCACTTTAACTACCATGCCACCTGCTGACTCCTCACCCAGTATGTTTTTTAAGCCACCAGGTCAGGGGATTTAAACCATGCAGTTGTCTATGTGGGATCTAGCCGCCTTAAACACCATCCCACCAGCTGGCCTGTACTAATAAGTATTTTAATTGTAGAAGCATTCCTTCCTCTTACCTAGACTGTCAAAGGGCATGCAAGATAGGCACCTGATATTACCTAGAATATACATTTATTCCCTTCCAAGTCACCAGGGTGCCGTGTAGGTGGCTGCCTCTTTGCCTTTCTGCACACAGCTGCTGGGAACTGACATCTCGTTGACTTCCATCCCCCTGGTATTCGAGTATGTGAGTAGACAGACTGACGTGCTAATAATCATACCCTGCCTAGCTTCTATTTTGTTAGCACAAATTACAGTTACTGTTGTCCACTTGGCCCTGAGTGCTATACAGGTCATGGCACCTGCGTGGTTCTTTGTCATTTGAAGTATAGACATAGGTGAATGAGCATGCTGTCCAGGAGTGTGATATAAACTGCAGGTCATTACCTATTAGTGGGTCTTGAGTGGGTTATGACTAGAATTTTTTTTTTCCTTTTTTGGAGAGGTTTTTGCTATAGGGTGCGTACGCTTGCCAGAAGGATAGAGAGGAACAGAGAGACAGAAAGCGAGAAATCACCTCCCTAAGGGGGGATGGCCACGCTGCAGTCCCTTCTCCTCCATTCTCCTCTTGGGATCTTGGATGCGCATGCGCCCGGGTTGAGTTTAAGCCACTGGGTCCGGGACTCAAACCGTGGTCGACTACATGGGAGTCCAGTGACATAGCCATTACGCTAACTGCTGGTCCTGGAATTTTATTTTTTTATTTTTTTTGAGAGATTTTGCTGTAGGGTGTGTGTGTGTTTGCTGGAGAGAAAGAGAGAGACAGAGAGACAAAAGGTGAGAAATCACCCCCTAGGGTGAATGACCATGCTGCTGTCTCTTCTCTATTCTCCTCTCGGGATTTTGGGCAGACATGCATGCATCCATGTCTGTTGTGAGTTTCAAGCCACCGGATTCAGGACTCGAGCTGTGATCGACCATGTGGGAGTCCAGCACCTTAACCACTATGCCACCTGCTGACTCTGTAACTAGAATTAAAAAAGAAAATGAAATAGTATAGAAGGAGTACATGCTTATATGGTAAAGGATAAGTATTTATAAAACTTTTACTTTAGTTTTTTTCTTTTAAGTTTACTAATTTTTTTCCATAAGTAAGAGGGACAGCACCCCTATAGAGTCTTGATGCTACCATCCATCCTCAGCCTCAGTCAGCCCTGGGTCATGTGCATGGGCATGCCCAGTGTGCTCAGGGAGGTCTCCAGGTGCAAACTTGGAACATTCCCTTATGGATCAGCCTTGTAGCATGTGGCATCTTACTGCTGCACCACTGTCTGGCCCTTTTTAGTTTCATATAAAGAATCTATGTGGCAGGGGAGCTGGACAGTGACACAGCAGTAGATTGTGATGCTCTGTGAAATATTTCCATATAGGACGGGTCGAATACTCTAGGCATGTGTGTGTCCATAATCCAGGGCTGGCTGCAGGCAGGTGTGTGTGAGAGTATGTGCGTGGAGGGTGGACCACAGCATTAGGAACCTGTTGGGAGTGCTGTTTTTCCAACCTCTGTTTCTCGCTTTCATGGAGGAAATAAATACACTTAAAAAAAAAAGATTGTGTGGGGCCAGGGGGTCGTGTGGTTAAGGTACTGGACTGCCACATGGCTCACTGTGGTTTGAGTCCCAGACCCAGTGGCTTGAAAATCAAGCTGGCACATGTGCGTGCATTCCCAAAATCCAAGGAGGAGAATGGAGGAGAAGGGATTGCAGCATGGCCATTTCCCACTGAGTGAATGGTTTCTCATTTTCCCTCTCTCTGTCTCTGTCTCTCTCTGGTGAGCACCCATGCCTTATGACAAAAAACCTTAACGATAAAAAGGACTACATATATACAGGATTCCAGTATAACTTGCATCCCTTATTGTGAGTTTTCAAAAAAATTTGAGAAACACTACAGTGAAAAGTGGGTGTCCTCAGGGGAAGAACAGGCCATTAAATAGGAAATCATTTTTGAGTTCTCAGGATATAAGCTATGGGTAATCTTACCTTAAACTTAGCATATTTTATCTGAATCTTGGGACCAGCAGTTGGTGTAATGGCTATGTCGCTGAACTCCCATGTAGTTGACTGAGGTTCGAGTCCCAGACCCGGTGGCTTAAACTCAGGCTGGGCACATGTGCGTGCGTGCCCAAGATCCCGAGAGGAGAATGGAGGAGAAGGAATTGCAGCGTGGCCATCCCCCCTGCGGGGGTGATTTCTCTCTTTCTGTCTTTCTGGCAAGTGCACATACCCTATAGCAAAAACCTCTCCAAAGAAAATAAAAGAAGAAGAATCTTTAACAAAATCTTGCTTTTTAAAAAACGATGCATTTTCTGGGCCAGCAGGTGGTTTGGTCATTAAGACACTGGATTCTCACATGGCCGGCTGCAGTTTGAGTTTTGGATGTGTTGACTTGAAAATCATACTGGGGGACCAGCAGTTAGCGTAATGGCTATGTCGCTGAACTCCCACGTAGTCAATTGCAGTTCGAGTCCCAGACCCGGTGGCTTAAACTCATGCCAGGTGCGTGTGCATGCGTGCCCAAGATCCTGAGAGGAGAATGGAGGAGAAGGAATTGCAGCGTGGCCATCCCCCCTGGGGGGTGATTTCTCGCTTTCTGTCTCTCTTTCTCTCTCTGTCTGTCTGGCAAGTACATGCACCCTATAGCAAAAACCTCTCCCAAAAAAAAGAAGAAAAAGAAAAAGAAGATTATACTGGGTATATGTGTGTGTGCATGCCCCAAGTCCTAAGAGGAGAGTAGAGGAGAAAGATTGCAGCGTGGCCACCCTCCCCTAGGGGGTGATTTCTCACTTTTCATCTCTCTTTCTCTCTTGACATCAAGTGTTTATACCCTATGGCAGAAAAATATAAAAACAAAATGAAACATGGGACCAGCAGATGGCATAATGGCTACGTTGCTCTCACGCCGGGTGCGTGTGCACGTGTGCCCAAGATCCCACGAGGAGAATGGAGGAGAAGGGATTGTGATGTGGCCATCCCCCAGGGAATGATTTCTTGCTTTCTGTCTCTTTCTGGCAAGTGCACACGCCTTATAGCATAAACCTCTCCAAAAACAAAACAAAACAAACATAAAATGAAACAAAAAACAATGCATTTTTCTATGCAAACGGCCAAAATATCAGAGAGTGCTGTGCTTCATGGGATGGGAGGGAGGGAATGCTGGATGATGTCTTCCTTAGTAGTAGAGGTATCTCACTTAACCTTTTTTTTTTGAGAGATTTTTGCTACAGGGTGTGTGTGCTCACTGGAAAGACAGGGAGTGAGAAATCATCCGCAGGGAGGATGGCCACATCGCAGTCCCCTCTTCTCCATTCTCCTGTTGGGATTTTGGGCACGCGTGCACATGCACCTGGTGTGTTTCAAGCTGTCGGGTCCAGGATTTGAACTGTGATTGGCCATGTGTGTGTCCAGTGCCTTAATCACCACACCACCTGCTGGCTCCCACTTAACCTCTTTAAGATGGGAATTATTTCACAGGTTGTTACGGTGAGGATTCTCTTTGTGTGAGTGCTTTGTGCAGGCATATAAACTGCATGGTATTTATTGTATGTGATTTTATTTGGGCATTGAACACCTTCACATTTCAGCTGCTTTAGTTTTGGTTGTACTGATCAGGAGGGGCCCTGATTATTTTTGTTGTTATTGTCATTTTCTGAAAGGTGAGTGGGCAGGCTATTTTGAGAAGTAGTTCTAAGAGAAAAGACTGATCTCTGTGTCACAGTATGCTTTACTGGTGTCAGGTGTCAATTTTTTTTTTTTTTTTTTTTGTAGATTTGTTCTTTCATTTCATTATTTTTTACTTTTTTGGTGTGTGTCTAGGGCATGTGTTTGCCCTTGCCAGAGAGAGACAGATAGAGGGAAAAATGAGAATTTACTCCCAGGAAGGATGGCCATGCTTGGTCCTAATTCCAGTGAAGTCCTGTGGAAAACATGGGACTAGTAGAGAAATTACTTTGGCTCCTGAAAACCAGTCCACTTTCCTCTACCACATATTACTCGGGTAGAGAGAAGAAATGACTTGTGGTTCTCTGTCCTTTCCCCTCCCTCACACCTCCTCTTCCTCCCTGCATTGTTCCAGGAAGTAAGGTGTGCCGAGGCTTTGGCTACGTCACATTTTCTATGCGGGAAGATGTTCAAAGGGCCATTAAGGAGGTTACCACCTTTGAAGGTTGCAAGATCGATGTAACTGTCGCCAAGAAAAAACTAAGGCACAAGACCAAAGAAAAGGGGAAAAATGGTGAGTTTCTGATAATTGAAAGGAGTTTTCCCCCATGGCAAGGAGCAGGAGTGTAATAATGAAAGGCAAAGTGGCAGTGGATGGGAGTTCTTCTAGAACTTAAAGTTTCATGAGCTTCTTTTGATGCCCCAAGTCATCCAGTGTGTTTGATACTCATTTTAGTCCTTGGTTTCCATCTCAGTCTGGAAAACTTGGTGTTCCTAGTTATTACCATTCTTGATCCTAAGGTAGATGATGTCTGTCACTAGTAGCTTTTCCCATGATGTTCTGGCCTAGAAATGAGTGGTTTTGGAGCACAGATTTATATTAATGTTATTATCTCTTACTTTTTAGAAAATTCAGAATTCCCAAAGAAAGAACCAAAGCCTAAAAAAGCCAAAGCTGCAGATAAGAAAGCCAGATTGATTATTCGGAATCTGAGCTTTAAGGTAAGTGACAGAGCAAACTAATGCTCTGTGTTCTGAAGGCTGTTAGAGTCAAGTGTCGTAGTCCCTTAGTGCCGCTCTAACAGAAATACCTGAAACTCGGTGATTATACTATAAAGAAAAGAGGTTTATTTAGCTCAGAATTCTGCTAGCTGGCAAGTGTGAGAGAAGGGACCTGCATGTCATGCTGCACCACCACATGGCAGAGCCATGCAGGAAGGGCAGCAGGTATGTACGGGCAGAGAGAGATGTGGGCAGGAGACTTGCTTTTATAATAGCCCACTCTCTTGGGGAACTGATCAGGGAGAACTGAGCTGCCTTAGTCTATTCGTGACGGATGCACCCTTACCTCCTGAGCACCTCTCATTAGGCCCCACCTCTCAGTACTGCTGCACTGGGTGTCAATTACAGCATGAGGTTTCAGAGGGGACACAACAATGTGAAATTGTAGCACAAAGCATGTTGGTGCAGCTCCTCCCTGAGATGATATATTGGACCTACTTCTTTTCGGGGATGACCTTAGCTCTGTTTTTGTTTTTTCTTTTCTTTTTTTGGAGAGGTTTTTGCTATAGGGTGCGTGCGCTTGCCAGAAAGACAGAGAGAGACAGAGAGACAGAAAGTGAGAAATCACCTCCAGGGGGGATGACCACGCCACAATCCCTTCTTCTCCATTCTCCTCTCGGGATTTTGGGCATGCATGCACGTATGCCTGGCTTGAGTTTAAGCCATCAGGTCCGGGACTCGAACCGTGGTTGACTAAGGGTGCGTGCACTCGCCTAGCCATTATACCAAGCGCTGGTCCTGACCTTAGCTCTGTTAAATTCAGAATCTGCTAAGGACATTAAATGTGAAGATGCCTTTGTTTAGGGAAACTACCACTTAGAAAAGGAAGGCAGAAAAGCTTTCGGATGTGTCTTGTCTCTCAAATATAAAGTAAGATGTCTTCTATTGCTGTCCTAGTCTCAAAAGCAAAAGTAGTAAAAATATCGAAGCTTTTCTTAATGAATTAACTAAGTAGTTGATGTTTCATGTTTATTTTCCAAAAAAATATTTCTCTTTTTCTTTCTTTACTTTTGGCTTCAGTGTTCAGAAGATGATTTGAAGACACTATTTACTCAGTTTGGAACTGTCCTAGAAGTAAATATCCCTAGGAAACCAGGTACTAGTACACCTTTATTTGGTATAGATTAGATTAAGATTTATTACCATGTCTTTTTCTGTATTACCTTTGAACTAAGCATCATTTGAAGTAGAATACAAGATCTGTGTCATACATTTTATGAGTTCTACATATAATATATGTGGACTGTCTTGCCCAGTGCTTGACAGGTAACAGAAACCCAAATGCTATTCCCCTAATGATATTTCAGGTAGATTAGAATTAGTTTTAGAAGACTAGCTACAGTTTGTGGCCCTTTCCAAGCCCAAGTCAGTATTCTCATAAAGAGGCTGTAGCTGTCCTTTGGGGAAGGGGCTGGCTGGTTGGTGACATTTGGACCATCTTGCCAGCCCAAGTTGCTGTAATTTTTGTTAGTGTCCTCTTGACTTCCCCCTGCTGCCTGTAACATCTTTGTACATTTGCACACAGATGGGAAGATGCGTGGTTTTGCTTTTGTTCAGTTCAAAAACCTCCTAGAAGCAGGAAAAGCTCTCAAAGGCATGAACATGAAAGAGATAAAAGGTAAGTGTGCTATACCCATAGCATTGACCCAGATATTTTTTGAGTTAGCATAGTAACCCATTTTCTACGTTTTCACAAAGTATTTGGATTGCTCACAATCTCACCACTAATATGGAAGCTGTTTGGGTGAAATATTCCTAGTACTAGATCTTAGAGTTAAACGTGAAAGAATTCATGCCAGCATCCTTTATTTGGTGAGTGTTCTCTTAAATTCCTGATGAAAAAATATCCCTGAAGTAATTGTTGATAGTTGCAGGTTGGTGTCTAAGTTTTTGCTCCTCAATTATGATTCTGCTTCTGTGGGCTGTTAAACTGACTGTGAGGCTACTCCAGGTACTACACCTAACGAAGGGATTGACTTAGAGACAGGCTTAGGTTAGGCAGCTACTACTGGGGCTTTATTTAGGGATCAGCATTCCCTGAATTGGCAGTTGCTTTGTCTCCACTGGTTTCTTTATTGTCTTCGATGAATAGGAAGTCATTTATAGAAGGTAGGGAGGTTAAAAGGAGGAAATCCATTCTGATGCCACTTCTCTGTCTGACAGGGCGGATGGTGGCTGTAGATTGGGCGGTGGCAAAGGATAAATATAAAGATACACAGTCTGCGTCTGCCCCAGGTAAGGTGTGCTTGTGTGTGTGGGAGGGCTTGTGTGTCCTGGGTAAGAGTGTGGAAACAGCTCATGTGTCTGCGATAGAAGTGTAAGGACGCTTGCTTGCTAGAGTGAGAATATTGAACTAAAGATTCCAGAAGCACAAGATTAAAGGAATGAGGCTGAGCATTCAGGAAAACTCTGAATTCCAGCTGGCCCAGAAACGAGCCCAGGGTTATCTCTCCACTCATATTGTACTGCCTGGCAACCTGGTCCTGAAACAGAATCTTTCTAGTCTAAGCCCGCTCTATGGATGCGAGTGAGGAATGGAGTCTGAGTTCGCTGTCCCCTGTACTTGCTATTCTTTCCCAGCTTTTCATAAGAGGGAGCGATGAAACATTAAGAAAAGAGAAACTTAAAACTTCAGTTTTATTTAGAAAACAATTGGCTTTTAAGCCACTGGGGTCTCAGAGAACAGAACTCACTGAGATTAAAGTCATGGCTGGGCTTGGAGTGGGCATTGTGCTGGTTGCTGTGTACAAGTGCAGGCTGTTTGAGGAGGCTCAGAGGCCTCCTCTTTTGTTTGGGGGCCAGATTAACTTTCAGGCTTCTGCAAATGGGACAAACGCCGAAGGAATCTGGATGATGACAGTTTTTTTTTTCTTTTCTTTTTTTTTTTGGTGGGTTTTCTTTCAGACTTTCTCCTAATATACAGTAAGAAACCTATGTGAAATTCTATAAAACCAAAGAAAGTTGGAGTATTTGTTACTCGTGTTAAAATAACCTTGCTTTGTATATTAATTGAATTCCTAACTAGATTCTTTACCTCCTTCCAGTAGGTCAGGAGAAGAACTCTGAACCTGAACATCAAGGATCTATTAAAAAGAATGTTAGGGAGGAAGAGGATGTGGAAGGGGAAGAGGACGATGAAGATGATGAAGATGATGACGAAGACAGTGACGATGATGACAGTGCTGGGGGGAGTAAAGCATCAAACTTGACCAAGCCCGTGCAGATTCAGAAAAGGTAAGGAGATCAGCCTGTTCTGGGATAACCAGAAAATTCAGGATTTTCTCTGAGAGGACAAATTCCTATCTTTCTCTGCCCCCCATCCCCATGCAGAATTGACATGTGTGAGGAAGCCAGCTAGGCCCCTCTGTCAGCCCAGATCTTTGTTGATTCATTTGCCATTGCAGAGCAATCAAGAGAGCAGCTCCTGCAGAAAGCAGTGAAGATCATTCTGATGAGGACAGTGACCAAGAGGAGAAAGAAGGTACCGATGATGGCGAGGACATGGACCAGAGTGACACCAGCAATGATGAGCAAGAAGATGAAGGTTTGCTTGTATCTTCATAAATGCCTTAAACTTCAAATAAGTCACTGGAAATGTTCCAGTCAGACCTCTTTAAATGGGACCCTAAGCTGTGTTATATTTATGTTTTTTTTTTAGAGGTTTTTGCTATAGGGTGCGTGCACTCGCCAGACAGACAGAGAGAGACAGAGAGACAGAAAGTGAGAAATCACCCCCCCAGGGGTGATGGCCATGCCGCAATCCCTTCTCCTCCATTCTCCTCTCGGAATCTTGGGCACACACACACACGCACCCAGCATGAGTGTTTTTTTTTTTTTTTTTAAAGCCACCAGAATCGGGATACGAACCACGTTCGACTACATGGGAGTCCAGCGACATAGCCATTACGCTAACTGCTGGTTCAATATATTTATGTTTTTTTGTTTTAATTATTTATTTAACTTTATTTATTCATTTATTTATTTTAATTTGACCAGAGACAGACTGAGAGAGAGGGGTGAAAGTGAGAAAGCAAGCCACCAGGTCTGGGGCTTGAAACATGGTCAGCCATGTGGGAGTGTCCAGACCTTAAACACTATGCCACCTGCTGGCTCCTTGTTTGTTTGTTTTTTTTTAGAGGTTTTTTATCTAGGGCTCGTGCACTCACTGGAGAGAGAGAGATGGTGAGAGAAAAAGTGAAAAATTACCCGTTGGGGGAATGGTCACACCACAACCCTTTCTCTTCCATTCTCCTTCTAGAATCTTGGGCATACATACACATGCGCCCAGCATGAATTTCAAGCCACTGAGTCTGAGACTCAGACTGTGGTTAGCCATGTGAGAGTCCAGTGATGTAACCAATATGCCATCTGCTGGCCCCTCAAATTTATGTTTAAATGTTGAAAAGAAAACTTTATATTCCTTACTTCCAAAGGATTTTTTTTTTTCCTGGCTTGTTTCTTTTTTATTTGTTTTGTGTTTAAGTGAATTTGGAGTGGTGTTTGAGGATTAATATTCTTTCTTAGGGAATCTAAAACCTAGCTTAATGCTGACGTACTACCTCTCTTGATTGTCCAAGTTGAATGAATAACTGGATAAACAGGATATTGTATGTTACACCATGGTAGATTTTAAACAACTTTTCTGAGTTGAAGCAGGGATAAAGGACTGTATAGTTAGCTTGGGCCACCATCACAAAATACCATAGACTGGTGACTTAAACAACAGAAATGAACTTTCTCACATTTCTGGAGGCCGGCTCAAGGTGCCTGCTGATTCGTTTTATGTTGAGGCTCTCTTTCTGCCGTGCAGATGCTTGACTTCTCGCTGTGTCCTCACATGGCCTTTCCTTCGTGTCATTAAGTGGGGGCAGAATAAGTGCGAATGAGCGCTGATCTTGGTTCCTCTTCTTACACGGACACCATCCTATCGGATTAGGGTTCTACTCTTATGACCTTGTTTAGCCTTAATTACTTTCCTAAAGTTTCTATTTCTAAATATAGTCACGTGGGAGTTAGGGCTTCAGCATCTGCATTTTTTTTTTTTTTTTGAGGTTTTTGCTATAGGGCATGTGCACTCGCCAGAAAGACAGAGAGAGACAGAAAGATAGAAAGTGAGAAATCAGCCCCCAGGAGGGATGGCCATGCTGCAGTCCCTTCTCCTCCATTCTCCTCTTGGGATCTTGGGCACATGCGCACATGTGCCTGGCCTGAGTTTAAGCCACCCTTCTGGGACTCAAAGCGCGGTTGACTACCTGGGAGTCCAGCGACATAGCCATTATGCCAACTGGTGGTCTCCAGTATCTGAATTCAGTGTATATCAAGGAGTTCTTGGAACATTTTATAAAACCGTTATCAATCCCTATCGTTGCCTTTCCAGAGCGTGAACTCAACTTGTATATAAAGAGAGGCAGGAAGTTACAAAACGAGAAATAGCCAATTATTGGTCCTTTGGTTTTTCTGGACAGAGATTTTTGTTTAGCTATTTTTTTTTTTTTGGAGAGGTTTCTGCTATAGGGCGCATGCGCTCGCCAGACAGAGAGAGACAGAGAGACAGAAAGTGAGAAATCACCCCCAGGGGGGATGGCCACGCTGCAATCTCTTCTCCATTCTCTTCTCGAGATGTTGGGCATGTACGCACACGCACCCGGCATGAGTTTAAGCCACCAGGTCTGGGACTCGAACCGCGGTTGACTACATGGGAGTCCAGCAACATAGCCATTACGCTAACTGCTGGTCCCTGTTTAGCTATTTTTGTTCTGTACCTGTGTCTGTAAGTGTGGGCTGTTGGTTTGACCATAAAAGAAATTTGAGGAAATAGCTTTTTCTGTGAGAATAGAATGGTAGATATCTAAAAATTGAAGAAGGTTTTATGCTGAATCAGGGCCTCTGAGACCATGCATTTCACAACTCAGATTCAGCTCTCACTTACTGTCCTTTCACCTGAAAAATTTATATATGAATAGGATGGATAGATGATAATGAGAGATCGTTAGTAAAAACGTATAGTATAGAAGAGTATAATATGGAAAGTGAAATTTCCTTGACAATTCCACCAACCCTGTTGTTGTGGTAACCTTCCAGAAAGTTTCTGTGTATGTATAGTTATACATCATATAATGACATTTCGGTTAATGGCAGACCAAGCATATGGTGGTGGCCCCGTAAGATCACACACTGTATGTGTAGTAGGCTGTGCCGTCTAGGTTTATGGAAGTACACTGTACATGTTTGCACAATGACAAACTTGCCTAATGTCCATTTCTTAGGAAATATCCCTGTCATTAAGTGATGCACAGCTGTCTAAGCATCTAAGTCTGCTCCTCAAGCCATGAGTCTCTCTTACACCCAGACCCCCAGGCCATTAGGGCACTTTCCCAGAGACAGCCAGTATTATATATTTGTTGTGTATCTAGAGAGAATTTTAATACATTAACGAGTCAAAATACATGCATGCACACACAAATGTAGTGTATGTTTGTGTGTGAATGTATGTGTATGTTTTCTCCTCAGAAAGTCTACACTGTCACAGCAGTTTATGGGAATGTCTTTTTCCCACACCCTCACTACATTGGATATAGTCGCTCTTTCTGATTTTTCCAATCTGTTAGTAAAAAATAGTATCTCATTTCTTATGCTGTGTTTTTCTTTAATTACGGGTGAGCTTGAGGGTATATGGGGGGAGTGTCTTCAAAAAAGTTCGTGGAAATGCAGATCATAAAGAAGCTATGTGTGGATTAAAAAACATTTTTTTGTACTAAAATAAATAGCATTTTTTTTACAAACTATTTGAAGTCCCTCATATTCAGTTCTGTACCTTTTGTTCATTTTTTTATTCTTTTGTCAGAGGGGGTGTGTGTTCACAGGAGAGAGAGAGAGGGAGAGAGGAGAGAGGAGAGAGTATCCCACATGAGGAGTGATCACACTGTAATCCTTCTCATTCACCTTTTCTTCCCTTCAGGATTTTTCTCATGCAAACACATAGTTCCAACATGTTTTTCAAGCTGCTGAGTCTGGGACTTGAACCATGTGGTCGTACACGTAGGATCCAGCTGCCTTCACTGCCAGGCCATGGAGCTGGCCCCCTTTGTTCATTTTTAATTAAAAAAAATTATTTAATTCCATTTGTTATTATTTTATTGATTGATTGATTGATTGATTTTTTGGGAGGGTTTTTTGCTACAGGGTGCATGCACTCGCCAGACAGAGAGAGACATAGAGACGGAAAGCAAGAAATCACCCCCGGGGGGATGGTCACGCCGCAATCCCTTCTCCTCCGTTCTCCTCTCAGGATCTTGGGCACGCACATACACGCGCCCGGCGTGAGTTTTAAGCCACCGGGTTCGGGACGCGAACCACGGTCGACTACGTGGGAGTCCAGCGACATAGCCATTACGTTAACTGTTGGTTCCCTATTTATTTATTTATTTGACCAGAGAGAAAAAGAAAAGGAAAGCAAGAAAGCAAGTTACCAGGTCTGGGACTCGAACCGTGGTCCTCCATGTGGGAATCCAGCACCCTCAACCACCACGCCTGGCCCCTCATTTTTAACTTTTAAAAATCTTTATTCACATGAGATCTGTATGTATTTGTCATGTGGCTTGCACTAGTTTTTTCAATTGTTGTTTTTCTTTTTACCTTAGATGTGCAAATCTCAAAGAAAAAGAAGAGGAAATTGCCCTCTGATGTGACTGAAGGGAAAACTGTATTTATCAGGTATGCTTTTCCACCTTGAGGATGGTTATGTTGTCTTCATGGATCTTTTCCTTCTCTTTCTTCCCTTCCTACTTTCTCTTCTTTCTCCTTCTGCCCCTTCTTCCTTGCTTCCTTCTTTTTGGCACTGGTTCTGATACCACACCCAGAAACTAGATACCTAGAAAACTCAGCACACCTGGTCCTAGGAAATTACCAAACAATGAGATGTAGGAGAATCAGAACTATGACACAAGATAAATAACGGGGTGGAGGACAGCAGGTGGTGTAGTGGTTAAGACACTGGACTCCCACATGTTCGATTGTAGTTTGAGTTCCAGACCCGGCGGCTTAAAACTCAATACTGGGCACCTATGTATGCACCCAAAATCCCAAGAGGAAAATGGAAGAGAAGGGATTGGGGAGTGACTGTCTCCCCTGGGGATGGGGGCATGATTTCTTGCTTTCTCTCTCTCTCTCTCTCTTTCCAGTGAGCACACGTACCCTGTAGCAAAAATCTCTCAAAAAGAAAGAAAAAAAAGAAAGGAAAAGATAGATAGTAGGGGTCCTGAAATCTCACCTTTATTTAGATCTCAATCTTTGTATTTGGGAGTGGTATCATTTAAAACAAATCACTTTCTCAACTGTTAGAAATAGCTTGGTTCTAGCCCTCAGTGTGGGGGAGAGTGATACACTTGGCCCAAATAAATGGTTTCTTTGTTTTTGCCTAACTTATTGCCCAAAGCAGTGTCCAAACAAAGTTAGACGTCTCATCATTTTTGGGAGAGCAGGGAAGTAGAGGGGAGTGGAAAGATTCTCTCTTATGTTGCTGTTGGAGTGCCAACTACAGTAGGCCAGTGTTTTCATAAGGTCAGGATATTACCAGTACACCTCAGGCATGCCTTCGTGTCCTTTCTTAAGCGCCAGTGCACTGGGGCCATTTGGGCCTGATTTTTAAGGTATACATTTTATCTTATAGAATCTTTTAAAAGATTTTTAAAAAATTGTTTAATTATACCAGTAATTTATGTTCATTATAGAAAATTTTGAGATAACTTAGGTTTTGCATGAGCAAAAAGAGAAAAGAAATTAACCATAGTCACTGTTACAAAGCACCCACATATACTTGCTCACATCATAAATATTCATAACAGTTTACTCTATACATGTGTTGTAGCCTGCTTTCTCACTTAGCAGCATATCTTTTCATATATATGTATGTATGTATATATTATGTATACATATATATCTTATATGTATATGTGTGTGTGTCTGTATTTTTTCTTTTCTTTTCTTTTTTTTTTTTTTGAGAGGTTTTTGCTATAGGGCATGTGTGCTCACCAGAAAGAGATAGAAAGCAAGAAATCACCCCTCGGGGGGTGGCCAATCCCTTCTCCACCATTCTCCTCACACGTGCCCGGCTTGAGTTTAAGCCACTGGGTCTGGGACTCGAACCATGGTCAACTACATGGGAGTCCAGTGACACAGCATTATGCTAACTGCTGGTCCCTATTTTTTCTTTTTTACTGTGTTACATGGTATTGCCATATAAATAATTTTGTATTTGTAAAGGATTTTGTCTAGCGGGAAGGAAGAAATATTATTTTCAGAAGCCTATAACCTCAATACCAAGGATACAATTCCTATATAGAAATTTTTTTTTGTTTTGCCAGAGAGCATGTGCACTCCCTGGAGAGAGATGGGGAGAGAGGGAAACATCCCCAGTGGGGAGTGGTCACATTACAGTCTCTTCTCTGTTTTTCCCACCTTTTGGGATTTTGGAGCACACATATGCATGTGCCCAGTGTGGGCTGAGACACTCTAACCTTACTGTTGGCCATGTGGGATCCAGCCTCTTAGCTACCATGCCACCAGCTGGCCTACACTCTCTTAATTAATAAAGAACTTAGGGAAATAAAGGGACAGAAGAAGAAATAAAAGGGTAGATGTGCATGTTTAGATAGCTAGGATATAGCTTATTGTGGACAGCCTTTTTTTTCTTTTTTTAAAAGGCTTTTGCCTTAGGGTGTGTGTGCTCACTGGAGAGACAGACAGTGAGAGCGAAAGTGAGAAATCAGCCCCCAGAGGGGATGGCCACGCTGCAATCCCTTTTCCTCCATTCTGTTGGGATCTTGGGCATGCACGTGCACACAACTGGTATGATTTTTAAGTCACTTGGTCTGGGACTCCAACTGCAGTCGGCTTTGTGGGAGTCCAGTGATGTAACCACTACAGCATCTGCTGGTCCCATGGACAACCCTTTTTGTCTTGCTTATTCCATGAAATAAAAATCATTTATAGAGTTTATTGAGTATAAGAGAAGTAAAATTATAGGTATTTATTAGGGAGTGTTCTTTTTTCCTTATTTATGATGTGTACACACACATGAGAAAGAGAGAGAGAGAAAAGCACCCTTGACCGAGCCTGGTCATACTGCGATCCCTTTCCTCTAGTCCTCCAGCCTGTCATATCTTGGACATGTCTCAGGCCAACCAGGCTAAGACTTGAACTGCAGTTGCGATGTGGCATACAGCCTCTTGAACAGCACATTACCACTGTACCACACAGTTGGCCTTTTTCCGTTGTTTTTGTTTTTACCCCTGGAAAGATATGCAGAACTGTGGAAATGAGGAATCTTCACACTGTGTTGAAACTTAGGAGAACAAAATCTCCTACCAACATTTTTGAATTCCATTGAGAGAAATAAGTGGTTTTATTTGTTTGCACTTAGCAAAATGTTCTCTTTTGCTTTATCTTCTCTTTTGTGTTATTTGGAAGAGTTTTCTTACTTTTGTAACATTTTTACCGAAACCTGGATATTATGGCAGCACCGAGGAGAAAATCACCAGTAGAGCACATGCGTGTGCACACAGTTTGACTTCTTACTTCCCTGCTGTGAGTCTTCTGGGTGTAGAAAGAGAAATTAATTTGGGTCATGTTAAGTGAAAGATGAGCTTTGTTGGATGAACACTGGGGTAGCTCACAGAATCAAAGTTGTCAGAGAGCAAACATCAAGAAGGAGATGAAAGCCTGGGCAGTCCTGGGGCCTTGCCTGTTGGAAGCTATGGATCTTTTCTTTGGGGACACTGCCTTTTTTTTTTTTAAGCTTATTTCTTTTTATCTAAGAGAGTGCTAGCACCCCCAAAAGAGCCTTACTGCTGTGACCCACCTCCAGCTTCAACCAGCTCAGAATCATGGGCACATTGCATGTTCAGGGAGATCTGTGGACATGAAGCTGAAACCCATTATTTTATTGCTGAACCACTGTTCGGTCCCCCTCTGTCCCCCTTTTAAGGTTAACATGTATTCTGTAGAGTACATTAATCTGAGTGTACAGCTCAGTGAAATTTCCTTTATGTGTATATTCTTGTAATGACCACCCAGATCAAGGTATAAATCATTTCCAGCACCTCAGAAGTTTGCATTGCATGGGACAATGCTATTTTTGAAGTGAATTGGCATTTGCATCCTGTGGTCTTCATACATGTCTCAGTTTCAAATTTCTAGGAGAGAGAATCTGATTGATACAGGAAGGTCACATCTGTTGGGACTGAAGGCCAGAGTCATATAGCAGAGGCCTTACTACTGAGCTTACCCATGCGAACTGGTCCTATTTCTGAACAAAGGAGAATGGTTGTGAGGAAGAGATCCACTCCACTTCATATCTAACTCATTTATCTTAGTGGTATGTAGAATCTCACTTTTGTAATAGACTTTTCTTATAACCTCCTTCCATAGAAACCTGTCCTTTGACTCAGAGGAAGAAGATCTTGGGGAGCTCCTCCAGCAATTTGGAAATCTGAAATATGTTCGCATTGTCTTGCATCCAGACACAGAGCATTCTAAAGGTATTTGCTGTTAGTTGGCCCAGCCCTAAAAGGATTGAGACTGCTGACTGCTATGGGTGTTGACTAAGTTACCTGACAGCGTAATGGGGGTGCCATTTTGAGAGGTCTATAGTCCATCCTTTCTGGGTTCCCTGGAAGTACCAAGGACATTTTGAGGTTGTCTTCTACAGTGTCAAACTCAGCATTTTTAATGTTGTTGCCAGCCGTAATTTTGTCTAAGCTTTTTTAAGCCCTTGCTTATTTACTTTGGGGTAATGAATTCTATTTGTTGTTCTCCTTTGAATTTCAAATGTGATAGCATCTCATGGGTATTAATCATTCCACATTGCTTGAAATTACTGAGGTCTTTTTTCCGGTTGCTTTTGTTAGAGATGAAAGCCGACAGATAAACTTGGTTGCATTTGACAACAGTCAGAATGAAAACTGCACCAGGAGTGCTGCTTTAGATTTTTTTCCCTGAAGCTATTTGCTTTTAGTTTTAAGGGTTAACCACTCCTCAACCTAGTGTACAGTTGCCGGGTAAAAGTCCGTTCAGTGCATTCATGATCTTTAGTTTCATAAACTGAAACCATCCTTCCAAGGCTCTTAGTTCTTTTTACTTTTTACTTTGCTATGGGGTGCATGCACTCACCAGAGAGATAAAGCCCTAGAAAGAGAGAAGGATAGTGAGAAATTACCCCCTGCAGGGAGATGGCCATGCCTCAGTCCCTTCTCTAGTTTCTTCTTGGGATTTTTGGGCATGCACACACACACATGCCTGGTGTGTTTTTCAAGTATCTGGGTCTGGGACTTGAACCATGTAGTCAGCATACAGGATCTAGCTGTCTTAACCACTATACCACCTCCTCTCTGAGTTCTTAATTTATTCTGATTCTTGATTCCTTTGAGATTTAGCAAATGCTATGAACCCTGTCCCCAGGAAAATGCCACTTCTAAAGATTATGGGCTTGGTAAGGCCTGATCATTTTTGATTTTTACTTAGGTAAAAAAGGATGTAAATAAGGCTCTGTGATGGAAAGAATATTCGACTGGTTCCTAGAGACTAGGAGTCTCACCCCAGCTATGCCTTAAACGAGCTGAGTGATATTTTTGGCAAATCATTTAACCACTCTGGACCTTACAATTACAGTAATCACTTAAGTAGTCAACTGTAGTATTAAGTTAAACTTCTCAGACCTTGGTCATTTCCAGTACATATTTTTCAAAATGGCCAAATAGAAATGCTTGGGGTGGTGTGCTAAGTGCCAGAATGATACCACCTCCCTTTGATGGCATCAGCGTCTTTTGTTCCTCTTTTAGAGCAGCAGTATATTAGGTTGATATTTTCAGAATGTAGTCTACAGCTGGCTTGCTAAATGTTATTTCTGGTCTATTAATGCTGTGAGAGTTAATGATCTTAATAAGCATGGTTTTAATTATTTTTTTCTTAATGCATTGCCTTTCCCTAGCCCGTATTAAATTCTTCTGACACCTTTTCTGCCTACTCATGCAGCCCGTGCTCCCTACAGTTTATCCCTCTCAGCATGCCGCTTTAGTACTTGGAAGAGCTAAGTGTTTTCTGCAGACTTTAGGGAAACGTTAAGGCTGGAAACCCAGCCCCTTTACTTCATTCTTTATTATTTGTTCTTTAATATCTATTAATGCTGTTCACTATGATAGGTGCTAAGAATATGCAGACAGCCAACAGATGTGGTTCTTTTTTTCAAGGCATTCATTTTGTTTGGGAAGATGCCACCTGATGGGTGCTGTAGAAGTGATGCAGGTAGAGGACGGGAGAGAGGGTGGGACCAGAAGTAGAGGCACACAGACCTGCCTTGGAGCAGGAGAGACTTCTAGATGATGACCTGGGTGGCATGTCTCATGTGTCCTTCCAGTTAGTCATTCATTCTCAGAGGGGCAGAAGATGGATGCCCCAGTAGCTAGGAAATATGGCCGAGTTTTCATATGTTAAGAGAATGTTTAAAGTATTAAATTTTATTTTTAGGTTTTTGCCATAAGATGTATGCACTTACCAGAAACAAAGAGAGGGGGAGAGAGAGAGAGAATGCGCAAGATGGTGAGAGGGAAAGTGAGAAATCACCCCTCAGGGAGAATGGCTATGGTGCAGTTCCTTCTCCATTCTGGAATTCTGGGCATGCAAGATACATATCTTATGTGATTTTCAAGCTGCTGGGTCGACTTGAACTGTGGTTGGCCATGTAGGGGCCTCGCACCTTAACCACTACACTACTGGCCCCAAGAATGTTTAAGGTTTAGAGGAGTAATAACAAAATATTGTGGAAATTGTATTTCCTTTTTGGAAGCTACCATAAGTACTTTTTTCATTTTGTGTATAAAAACTGCTTTTTTTTTTGCAATAGCAGGTATTTGGATGGGTTGATTGGCCCTGCATCTACCAACAGAAGACATGCCTGTAGAGATTGTAGAGCATGAGCCACAATTCGAGCTCTCGTCTTTTTGATTTCTGGCTTTATTGATGTCATAGAGGCCAGGGGCTTTTACCCTGAAAGGCACAGCGGTCTTATCTCATGCCTCCCAAGTGACTCTGAGTCAGTGACTCTTGAGACAGTGAGATTTGTAATTAATTAATTTCAGGGTTAAGTGGTTCTTGCCTCATTTTTTAGTCCTCTAATGGGCACTTTGTATGCAATGCTGAATTAAGTGTGGGGTGGAATTTCTCTACCATTTCATGTGGGTATTTCCTGTTAAGGAGAGAAATGAGTCTTTAAGTTCTAAGAGGCATTAGAAAAGATGAAGGAAGAAGTGATAAAGGTATGGTATCTCATCTGTCTTTGGCCCTTCAGTGCCTCTCATAATGTCTGTCTCATAGAACTTAACAAATGGACACCGTCTACCCCTGCCACTCTGTCAGGCTGCCCCCACTTGTAGTATTGCCTTTGGCTTCTGATTGGGCCATGGGCATTTGGGATCTCACATAATTTTGTGTCTCTGTGCAGGTTGTGCCTTTGCTCAGTTCACGACTCAAGAAGCAGCTCAAAAGTGCCTTACAGCTGCTTCTCCAGAGAGTGAGGTAAGGAAGAGATTTCTTTTACCCTATAATGTAGGAGAGAGTGGCTCCTAAGGCAACATCTGATGTTTTCACAAGGCTTTATTATCATCGTCAATAATAATAATAAAACTAATACTTACTGAGCACTTAGAATGTGTCAGGCATCGAACTTTACCTGCTTTGCCTTCTGTAGCATTCAGTCAGCCCTAGAATGTAGGCAGAATCACTGTCCCTGTTTCACAGGTATAAGAATGTATCTGGTGTTTACCGATTGCTACGTGCGTGGCAGCCTCTATCTTAAACTGGTAACATTAAAGACTGGGATAGGAAGGTATTGAGGGCATCTGTGAAGTGGAGTAAATGAGAGAAAGTGTGTAGGTGATGGAAAACTTTTTTTTTTTTTTTTTTGAGAGGTTTTCGCTATAGGGCGCGTACGCTCGCCAGAAAGACAGAGAGAAACAGAGAGATAGAAAGCGAGAAATCACCCCCCGAGGGGATGGTCATGCTGCAATCCCTTCTCCTCCATTCTCCTCTCGGGATCTTGGGGACACACACACACGCGCCTGGTGTGAGTTCTAAGCCACCGGGTCTGGGATGCGAACCGTGGTTGACTACGTGGGAATCCAGCGACAGTCATTACGCTAACTGCTGGTTCCCGGTGATGGAAGATTTTTTTGTGTGCTCAAAAATAAAATAAAAATTATTTGAGAGAAGTTACCTTTTTTTTTCAGTGAGAGATTTTTGTTACAGGGCACATGTGCTTGCCAGAGAGACAGACAGATAGAGAGATGGAAAGTGAGAAATCACCGCCCCCAGGGGGATGGCCATGCCAAATCCCTTCTCTACCATTCTCTCGGAATTTTGGGCACACATACACACGGTCCTGGTGTGAGTTTTAAGTTGCTGGGTCCAGTACTCGAACTGTGGTTAGCTATGTGGGAGTCCAGTGACATAACCATTGCACCATCTGCTGGTTCTAAAAGAAGTTATCTTATATTGCCATTACCTCTTAAATTCTTTTGAGTAGGGTTAACATAGTACTTCATGAGCTTTCTTTAGAAACTAAAACTTTACCTGTTTATAGATCATTTCTCCAATTTTGTCCTACTTTAGGACTAATTAGTTCCCACAGAATAAATTATTTACTGCTGACTGCCCTAAGTACACATGGCCATTTGCACAGCCAAAATAAATACTGTGAGGCTCAGTAATCCTCTTGCAGTTAGCTAGGCTGCAACATCCTGGGGCTTGGCTTCCATAGCGTGATTGGGGCTTGCCATTGCCCTTTCCTTGGTGTTCCCTGCTGGGTGCTTAGTGTCTACTTGTTACATATTTTGAGAGAGTTGCAATCTGTTCCAGGGAGGCGGGCTTAAACTGGATGGCCGGCAACTCAAGGTTGACTTGGCAGTCACCCGTGATGAGGCTGCAAAGCTTCAGACAAAGAAGGTGAAGAAGCCAACGGGAACCCGGAACCTGTATCTGGCCCGAGAAGGCTGTGAGTAGTGGGAGGTGTGAACTAGGCTTCCAGTTATTTGACCTGGTGCTATAACTGGTATGTTTTGGAGCATATTTCAAATTAAAAACCCAGTGCTCTCTTGTGAGTGCTATATTAGTCTTCCAGTTTAGGAGAGGTGGCTATTAGGAAGGTTTGTAGATCCATTTTGTGGATTATCTTTCCATGTTCTCTCTCTTTTTTTTTTTTTTTAAATATTTATTCATTTTTTTAATTCCATTTTTTTTTTTTTTTTAACCAGAGAGAGAGAGAGAGAGAGAAAGGGAAAGCGAGAAAGCAAGCCTCCAGGTCCAGGACTTGAACTGCAGTCGGCCATGTGGGAATCCAGTGCTCTTAACCACCACACTACCTGCCAGCCCCTCCCTGTTCTCTTGTCTGCCCAGTTGCGTTAGACTTTTCATTTGAGGATTGGCAAGGCAGAGGGAGGAAAAACTCAAATTATCTTTGCTTTCTCTCACTTGTAATAAGAGGTTTTCTTTTTTCTTTTTTTGGGAGGGGGAGAGGTTTTTGCTATAGGGCGCGTGCGCTCGCCAGACAGACAGAGACAGAGAGATAGAAAGCAAGAAATCACCCCCCAGGGGGGATGGCCACGCTGCAATCCCTTCTCCTCCATTCTCCTCTCGGGATCTTGGGCACGCACACACACGCGCCCGACCTGAGTTTTAAGCCACTGGGTTCGGGACGCGAACTGCAGTTGACTACATGGGAGTCCAGCGACATAGCCATTATGCTAACTGCTGGTCCCCTAATAAGAGGTTTTCTGAAGGAGTTGAAAATTATGGCTAAAATTACTCTTTTGGATTATTCATGGTTTTAAAATGGGCACCCAGTACCTTTCCCTTAATGTCAGAATGGGAGTCAGAAATTAGCTTTAACATAAAGAAGAATCCCTTTTTCTCAGTCACACAGTGTTTATCAGCACATCTTTTGCACAGCTGCATAGTCTGAACAGGTAGCATAAAGCTTATAAGCCTTTGATATTAGGCCTCTATGGTCGTAGATTACTTTTTTTTTTTTTTTTTTTTTTTTTTTTTTTTTTTTTTTTTTTTTTTTTTTTTTTTTTTTTTTTTTTTTTTTTTTTTTAACTAGAGGGTATATGTGCTTTCCAGAAAAAGAGGGAGAGAAGAAAGCACCTCCCATAGGAAATGGTGGTGTTGCAACCTTTCCCCTTCATATCTCCCTTCTTTTTGGGATTTTAGGCATGTATGCACATTCACATACTCCTGGCTTGTTGAATCAAGTTCCGGGACTTGAACCATCTGGTCAACTATGTGCAGTCCAGCTGCTTTAAGAACCAGGCCATGGAGCCAACCCCCATGAACTTTTTTAGGTCAACTTATCTCACTCGTTAGTAATGGTCCCAAATACACGGGGAGTAGCTCTGTTCCAGGGACAGGTTTAGGTGGAACATTTACATTCCACTGCCTAAAATACATGTACTTTGAGAACTTCCTCTAGGCTTTTCATCTGCCTTTGGGCACGTATATGAAGCTTTTTCGAGGAGAAGGAAGGAGAAGAACAACAAAATAACAAAATGTTCAGAGTTTTAGTCCTTGAGAGTAGCTCTGAACCCAGAACTTAGCCCTGTAGCCTATTTCTGGATCTAACCAAATGCCACCACGTCCTAGCCAACATAATCCTCTGGGTCCTATACAAAGAGTTTGCATCATTCACATCACATTCCTCTTGTTGCTCAGTGAAAATTCCCTTGGTGATATTTTGGCCTTTTTTCCTCTTTCTGCAGTGATTCGTGCTGGGACGAAGGCTGCAGAGGGTGTGAGTGCTGCTGATATGGCCAAAAGAGAACGGGTGAGTAGATGAGGCACCAGTCTTCGGATTTTTCCTGGCTTATAAACTAATTTTTTAATTAGGGAATGCTACATGTGCTCCTCAAAGAGCCAAATATAGGTGACAGACCTTCCTTACAGTCTCGTTAGAGAGAAAAGCACACAGGTGAAATAGGAAGTAACCCAACATTAAACTTAGTGTTGTATCAGCATAGTAGGCCATTGTGAGAACTAGGTCTTACTCTTACTTTGTAGTGCTCAGC